AATCTGTATTATATGTACATTTCATGGGTGTGTCCACTTCCTGGTGTTAAAGGGCTGGAGCTGAGCAGGCTGAGAGACCAGCAACTTTTTCTGGTTGTTCTGTTGCACATTAAGGATAAACCTCTAGTCCAGTGGTTACCAAACTTTTTTTTGCTAGGCCCCCCTTTGTTTTACAAGAAAAATGTTCGCGCACGCGCGCGCGCACGCACCCGCGCGCACAAACATCCTCCAACCACGCACACCCATATTTTGCTCCATTGCGGTTTATTTCACACCTCAAACATTTAGTAAACAATTAAGCAAATACAAGTAATCTGCAATAAATTACAAGTAGTAATAAAATAAACTACTAACTCTTTTACGCTGCGTCCGCACCTACACGGGTATTTTTGAAAACGCAGCTGTTTCGTCCACACGTAAACGGCGTTTGGAATCACCGAAAACAGAGATTTTTTTAAAACTCCTTTTTTGCGTTTACGTGTAGACGAAGAATACAGAGTTCGTCACGCAAAGGTATGTGCCTTTTTTCACGTCACGCTGTGCGCCACGTTATTGTTTACCTGAGATGAATTGCAGAATGACAGACAGAGACGAAATACTGTTAATCTGACTATCTTCAGGTTTTACACGCTTACATATAAACACGCAGTTACTGTCCCTCTATTTAGAAAGGCAGAGGCTCACGGTGTGATTATTTTACGTGAAGTTGTTTTTTTCCTGTGTAATAATATTCAACATTGCTATCAATACATTTTTCAAAAAATGCCTCTCTGTGCAAAATAGGTTTAAAAACATAAACAGCTGTTGGATGCTGTTTGTCCGTGATTTGAACAGGGGGAACAAATCGTGGCAGGATCAGCCTGATATTATTTGTATCCCACTGTAACTTTACTGCATAAAGAGCTAACATCTCCAAAATGTCAGGAGTAGTTAGTTGGTTTGGAAACATATTCAGCTATGCTTCATCTCCTGCTTTGCGTTTGTGTGGACGCACACAAAAGACTAGCAAGACAAACTGCTCGTCTCTGGTCCCCGCGGGCTGAGATCAGTTATGATCTATGCATTTATTACAGTAACAAACAAGTTTCCTCTCATTAACCACTGACATGTTTGATGTAGAGGATTTAGAAAACTTTTTTTTATTAACAGGCAGGTTGACCAGATGCAGGCTTCAAGTACACTTTTAGATTTAGTAACTCTGAAATCACTTAGTTGACTGAACGACAGTTAAGTGTAACCAGCTGTTTAACTAATTTTTCATTAATATTTTTAATCCTTCAGTAGATACTGACAGTTAACCATGTCACCCAATGCTCAAGCCTTTTTTTTCTTTAGCTGTTTTGTTATTTATATATTTCAATATACTTTAACAGCAGTTGTGTTTTTCTGAACTTATTACACATAACGTCCTTGGGGATTATTAAAGTATTCTGATTCTTATTAGAGATATGAGGTCCTCACAGGAAACCACTACAAACACTTTTTATAGAATATAATGCATTACTACCATTAAACAGTATGTAAAGCATTACGCTGAACTTAACCTTACACACCTGCAGCAATAATAAAATCCATATAACAGTCATGGGGAACATTTTTCTGCAGTATAACAATGGTTATGTTCAGTACTTTACAGTTTTATGTGTACTAAGGTGTGTGGTATAGCTACTAAAGGAATGGTTTTAATACATTTCTTCTTCAATCATCCTTGCCAGCTAATGGTAAATATTTTAAGTATAATAGTAATAATATTTTTAAATTCTTCAACCAGGAAGCCATGCACAAAGCTTAAAATTTCCATGCAGTGTGCAGCATAAATAAAAGAATAAAAGAGAGGCTGAACTAAATCATGAAACGCTATATTTTAGTGGTTTAAGATCTATTATTCTTTTTGGATATTCATCATCTCTCTTTGCTTTTCTGTATAAGTCACCCTACACCACTGCAATCAAGTCTGTTCCTTTTATTGGATTTTACGAGAACTTTTAGTTTACTCCCCAAAAATCTAATGTTCAACTCTAGAGGAAGTATTAGAAAGCCACGGCTCAATGCTGCAATCTATACAGCATCTTCACTGGTGTTAGGAGACTACCTTTCCTGTGCATATAGGGTGTTACATATGACCACATTAATAAATTAATTCAGGCGTGGAAACAGAGTACAGCTGAGTTTCACCCACACCAGAGGAAAAGCAGTTTATAGCTCTGACTTTGTTTTGAATGACCTTGTGACTTCCATCTGCTAGCAAAAAAAGAAAAGAAAAAAGAAACCGATAGAAAAGTAGTGCAATAAAATGTGCAGGATGAGTGGGTAGGAAGGTGATACTCAGTATGCAAAACATGTATGTGTAGCAATGGGTGTGATTTTTAAAGTATGATGCATGTTTTCTTCATAAAAAAATGAAACAAAAACAAACAAAAAACAACAACTGTCCAGCAGATGTGTTAAAAAAAAAAAAGAACATTTGATTGAAAGTTCAGTGATAATTCCACAAACGACTTTACAACCAATTCCTCTTAACTTTAGCCCACGGGTCAACTACCCACTCAGTAATAGTACAAACATGTAAACAAATACTTTCACCAGGTAGCCATGGGCCCCATCACCATTGTGTTATCTCATTCAATATATACCAGAAATTTTAGAAAAAAGCGGAAATTACACACTTAAAATTTGAATTATCTGCTTGTGTAAAATGACAAAAGTCCAAATTGTGCTTGTAACTGGCCTAAAAATCACTTAATGTGTGCCCAGCAGCTTTTTAAAAACCCATGTCATTAACATCAAGCTGTGCACAGGATAGCCTCATATTGGTCTTGCACTGTATCTCTATCCTCATGAAAATTAAAGATTTCAAAATGTCACTCAGCACGTTTCCATTTATGGCACTTGGACTGATTGACCCTCTGCAGGCCCCTGTTGGGAGCCCCTACCCTGTTGCCATAGAGATCATTGCTTGTAACTCAGAAACCTGGGATGAGAGAGTGTGAAGTTATCGCAATTAGACTCTAAATCATGTTCTGGTGCGATTTTAATGCATTTAAGACTTTTCTTTTAACTGTAGGACTACTTCAGTCCAATTTTATTAAATAAAAAAAAATCATAACCATCCATCATCCAACTTGCTGTAACTCAGTTATTTGAGACTGCAGGACCTTATGAAAGAGTCACAATTGATTTCTGACAGCAGAGAAAAAACAAGTGTGACCTCAGTTCATTCAGCTGTGGGTTGTGTCATGTGTAGACAGAACATAAAAAAAAACCAACATGGATTTTTTATTTGAGAACAAAAAATAAAAATTGTGTAGGCTAATCATGATGTCTCGGGGCGTTATGTTCTACAAAGGTTTGTGCTGCAAAGATTGTAAAGTTGCAGGTTTTAAAAAGAAGACCTTGACTTCAGAAGTTGGTGTTTACCTGGGATTTTGTAGTTTTTCCATCGAAAAGAAAAACAAAAAAAACAGAAGAAAACCCCCCAGAAAAAACAGACTAGAAAGTGACATCCATCCGTTCTTTTTAAAAACATCTTATTCAATCCAGGGTTACAGAGTAGATTGAGCCCATCTTAGCAATGGTGGGGAAGAGGCAGGACACATCCTGAATAGGTTGCTAGTACTAAAACATACAAAAAGTTGGCTACCTATAACCAGTTTGAATCACCAGTTGACCCAACATGCATGTCTTTGGACTGTGGGAAGAAGTCACATATCAGAGG